TCTTCTGTTCTCAGCTCCAGTTGTGAGGCTGAGATCTACGCCACCGCCATGGCTGCTCAGGAGCTGCGCTGGCTCACGTACCTGCTGACCGACCTGGGAGAGCGGCCTCGTTCTCCTCCAGTTCTGTACGTTGACAACAAGGCAGCCATTGCCTTGTGTGAGGAGCACAGACTGGAGCACAGAACGAAGCACATCGCTCTGCGTTACTTCCTGGCTCGAGAGTTGCAGCAGCGTGGTCAGCTTCGTCTTGCACACGTGGCCACTCGAGCCAACACTGCTGATATATTCACCAAGGCACTTCCGTCTGGTGATCATCAGCACTTTTGTACTTTGTTGGGCCTTGTGCCTACGTTTCCACACTTGCTGTAGACTCTGTCTGTACTGTGATCTTTATATATATATACCTGCATGCTTGCTCTTGCTAGGTAGTGATCACTGTACTTTGTTTGTTGCATATATACCTCTGCATGTGGACTGGCCTTGTGGCCCTTTGCTTGTGCTCAGTCTGTGTGGTGACGTTGTGATCCACCCTGAGCTTGGTTTGTTTCTCTTGACTGGTCTTGTGACCCCTTGTTCTCCCCCACTTTTCCTATGGGGGTGTGTCAAACTATGCATATTGTGTTTGTGTAGGCTGCTAGTGGGGTAGCCCATATGGGGTACAACCCAATGTTAGGGTTAGCTTATGTACCCAACTCTTGATCAATGCATTCATTCTTGTCTCTAGATTCTAACACGAGTGACTGGTAGCCAGAGGTGTGGCCTGTGGTGAGGAGAACTGGAAGCCGAAGCGCTGAAGGACCTGCTGCACCATGTGTGACTGAGTCAAGGTGATGGTGCGGCGTGCTCTGTCCCGGGTGATCTGCAGGCCAAGGTAGCTGCGCAGCTCACCCAGGTCAGTGCAGGTATGTCTCTTCTGCAGCTCCGACTTCACACGAGCGAGTGCCTCAGTGTCAGCAGTAGCAAAGACCAAGTCGTCGACATACACGAGGATGTAAAACGGCGGCAGCGACGTGTCTGTGCGCAGGAACAGTGACGGGTCAGCAGTGGAAGGAGCAAACCCAAGGGCCGCAAGTGTAGTCCTCAGTGTGTCGTGCCACTCGCGCGGCGCCTGGCGGAGACCGTAGACTGGCCGCCGAAGGCTCCACTGGGTACCAGGAGGGAACGACCCAGTGAAGCCAGGAGGGCGGCGCAGCCAGATCTCCTCGTGGAGGCTGCCCTGCAAGAAAGCTGTGCTGAAGTCAAGAGAGTGCAGCTCGTAGTCACGCTGAGCAGCAATGTGCAGCAACACCCGAAGAGTGGTCATCTTCGGGGTGGGGGAGAAGGTCTGAAAGAAGTCAACTCCCTGTCGCTGACTGAAACCTCTAGCAACGTAACGAGCCTTGAAGACAGGCGGAGAACCCGGCGGCCGCTTCACCCTGAAAATCCACATGCCATCGACGATGTTCGCCTCTGGAGGGGGAACGTCCTCGACGTAGGTGCCTGTGGACTTCTAGGATGCCATCTCTGCGTCCATGGCTGTCTGCCACTGAGAGGAGTAGGGACCCGAGATCGCCTCTGCGTAAGAGCGCGGAGTGGGGATGTCTAGTGCATCCGGGTCTCCCTCAGGGGCAAGCAGCCAGGCCACGAGATGAGGTACAGCAGCCGCAAGAGAGTCAAAGTCCTCCTGCCTGTCCTCAAGGACGTCCGTGCCAAGAGCACACTCACCCCCGACGGACGGAGGACAGACAGACTCAGACTCAGTAACAAGACTGGCAGTGTAGTCGAGACGACAGACAACAGCAAAGTCAACCAGCTCAGCGACCAGGGCAGACGCAGCAGCCGACTCAAAAGACGGGTCAGTGACAGCAGTGGCTAACAGACGCGTGACGGTAGGGTGCTCAGCACGAAAACGGTCAGACGCAGGGTCCGGAACGTCAGGCAAAGAAGACGCAGGAGGAGACGGCAGAGGAACCGACTGTGGTACAGAGGAGGGACGACGGACGACAAGGCGAGAACCAGCAACAGGCGGCGAACGCTGGTGCGAGACGCGGCGAGCGGAACGACCAGAACGAACAGGCGAGACAGGACGCGACGCAGGCTCACGACGCTCAGTAAGACCCCCTGACTGCTCAGTGTAAGGAGAAGGAGCAGGCAAGGGCGAGCCAGGCAGTAACGGAAGACCAGTAGAAGACGGAAGACTAAGAACCTGGCGAAGGACAGAGTCAGACGGCGGCAGAGACGACGGCGACGGCGGAGCGAAGAACAGGCGCGACTGTACAGTACCGCCAGCACCAGCAGCTCCAGCACCTCCAGCGACACCACCACCCCCAGTGTCAGCTCCTCCAGGACTGTCCCCACTAGCAGCAGCACCCCCAGAACCAGTACCTCCAGTCCCAGGGTCTCCAGCCGCAGCGTCTCCAGCGGTAGCACCCTCAGACACAGCACCACCAGCCCCAGCAGCTCGAGTACCAGCGGTACGAGCACCTCCGGGACCAGCGACGGGAGTACCTCCAGGAGACAACGAACCAGCACCACTCTCAGCTCCAGGGGCGGCAGTAGAGGCACCACCAGCAGTAGAGCCCGGAGCTCCAGGAGGGCGACGCTGACGGCGACCGAACCAGTCGTGCAGCTGCTGGGAGGTGAGAGGAACACGCGAACGAAGGCGGCCAGTCCAGGGCACATCCTCCACTGGCGACGCACCCCCAGACTCAGCACCCCCAGACGCAGCACACCCAGACCCCTCAAGCACAGGCTCAGCTCCCTCAGACGGAGCACCGCGACAACGAGCAGAACCAGCTCCTCCAGTACCTCCAGCACCAGTGTCCCCAGCTCCAGTGGCACCAGGCTCAGGACCTCCAGAACAACCAGCTCCGGCAGCCGCAGTACCTCCAGGACTAGCACCCCCAGAACCAGCAGCTGCAGCACCGCCAGAACCTCCAGCACCAGTGTCCCCAGTCTCAGCGCCTCCAGCTCCAGCTGCACCACGCGGAAGGCGAAAGCGCCGGACGTACCACTCACGGAGCTGCCGCTGTGTGAGAGGCTCCCGAAGAGGCGACTCAACACCCTGAGGACCCCCAGACGCAGCAAATCGAGGCACAGCACCCCCAGGCCCCGCACCCACGGTCCCAGCACCCCCAGGCTCCGCACCCCCAGGCTCAGCACCCCCAGGCTCAGCACCCCTAGCAGCACCACCCCCAGCAGCACCTGAGTCACCTGTGACCTCGACAGGCTCAGCGACGGGAGGAGGGTCTACCTGAGAGACACCTAAAGGAGCAGGACCCTGAGGGGGAAGGGGGTCGACCGGAGGGGGACCTGGAGCAAGGAAAAGCGGCGGGGGAGGGAGGGGGGCAGTGCGGTAGGGGAAGAGACGGTAAAAAGGAACCGACTCGTCAAAGGTGACGTCCTGAGAGGCGAAGACCCGGCGCGAGGTGGGGTGGTAAAACTGCCAGCCTGGCGCGTCAGGGACAAAGCCAAGGAAGACACAGGGAAGTGTGCGGGAGGAGAGCTTGTCCGCGGAAGTATCGCGGACAAGGGCACGAGAACCCCACACCCGGAAGCGCGACGCATCGCCGACCTCCCCCGTCCACCGCAGTGTGGGCGAGGTCTCCGGCAAGGAGACACGGGGCCAGAGGTTGAGCTGATGCGCCGCGTACCGGACAGCAAACGGCCACAGAAAATGGGGAGCCGCCGCATGAACCAAGGAGGTACGAGCGACCTCCATGACCAGGCCAATGCGGCGCTCTGCAACCCCATTCTGCTGCGGGGAGCCCGGAAGCGTGAAGGACTGCTCGATGCCCTCCGCCTGACAGAAGGCCCTCAAGAGGTCAGAGGAGAACTCACCACCTCTGTCAAAGTGCAGACGCAGGACAGGAAGCTCTGTCCTGAACCGGCGGCGGAGCTGGAGACGAACTGTGCGGATCCAAGGGATCAGAACAGCAGGGACCTCACCCTTGGTGCGCAAGGGGAAGACCGTGGTGTAACGCGAGTAGTCGTCGACAACCAGCAGAAAGTACCGCTCACCGCCCTGTCCACGGACGCGGGCCGGGCCCCACACGTCCAGGTGGAGGGTCTGCAGAGGAGCCTCGGTCGGGGGAAACGAGGAGGAGTGAGGAGCGGCGCGCTGCCGCCCCTCGACGCAAGGAAGGCAAGGCGGCGCAGGCGAGGCAGGGAGGGGAGGGAGAGACCGGGGAAGACCGGACACAAGGTGACGACGGTGCATGCCACGAAGGCGCGGCAAGGAGGGGTGACCCAGGCGGTGGTGCCAGAGAAGGGTCTGGTGCGACAGGGAGCGACACTCACAGGGGTGGGCTACTAGACCTGACGCAGACACCTGACCAACAGCAGCGACCTGAGGAGACACAGTGGTCAGTGTGTAGAGACTCGACCCCGGCTGACGAGTGAACGTAGCCAGGTGACGGCCAGTCCTGGAGCACGTACAGATCGCCACACGCTGTCCTCCAGGGGTGAAGGTGTCAACCCAGTGATCCTGGATAACAGCGTTGCTCACCAAGTTCGTAGAGAATGAGGGGAGGTGGAAACCCGACAACGAGCCAGACGGAACCGCCGGACAGGGAAGCACAGTGGTAGACCGTGCAAGAACTGGACCCCCGGAGGGGTCAGCCAGGGAGACTGGAACTGGTGCAGGGAGGGGAGTGAGCTCAGTACTGTCACGAAAGAAGCAGCGGGAAGCACCTGAGTCAAGCGTGAAGGTGTGCAAGGCCTCAGCGGGCGCAGTACCGGAGAGCGCAGACTCGCTAGCAGGAGGGGGTGTACCGAAGGGAGTAGCCTCGGAAGGCACAGTACCTGAGAGAGCAGACTCGCTGGTACCTAGGGCAGTGGGCTCTATACCTGGGTCAGGCGGCACACACAAGTAACAGTCCCCCTCAGCACTAACAGTCAATGCATACATGGCAGCAATAATAGCATCATAATCAAGAGCAAAGATATCAACACCAGCCCTCATCAGATCAGCCCAGCGGGGGCGCTCAACCTCCTCGCCCATCTCCTCACGCCAAGCGTCGTCAAGGCGGGAGAAGCAGCGGTACTGGGTGTGGAACCTCCCACACTTCTGCCCCTTGCGTTCACCTGTGCGAATGACATAGGAACAGCGACCACTGCCTCCCGACGTCCCACGCTGAGCAAGCCACTCACGGAGCTGCTGGGTCGTCTGAGGACGCTGCTGCTGCTGCGAGGACTGGCCCGAGCTGGGGCCCACACTCCGACCACCACCACCGCCACTACCGCCGCTCCGACCGCCACTGCTGCCGCCGCCACCGCCACCACTGCCACCACCGCTGCCACCGCCGCCACCGCTGCCACCACTCCCGCCGCCGCCCCCGCCCCCACCGCTGCCTCCACCCCCACCAGCACTCCCGCCACCGCTCCCTCCGGTACCGCCTCCTCCCCCACCTCCCCCCCCAGCGCCACCACCACCACCCTTGCCCCCCTTGCCCTTGCCGGTGCGGCGCCTCCCACCAGGAGCAGAAGCAGCGCCAGCAGACTCAGCACCAAGGAGGTCAACAGCAGCAGCAGTAGCGTAGGAGGGAGCGAGGGGAGAGGGAGAACACCCCTCAAAGATGGGGGTGCGAGGAGCGCCACGAGCAGCACCTACAGCGACAATGCTCTTCTCGGCTGCTAGCAGCTTCTCCTCTAGGAGGGCGACTGTGAGCTCAGTGGGACAGCGGGCAAGGAAGTAGTCTCGGACTGAGCTGAGGGTGTCAGGGAGACGGGTGACTATGAAATGGAGCGTCCAGTACAGTGGAGGGGGGTTCTTAGCGCAGAACTCGGTGGGAAGGGCGGCACGCAGGCGAGCGTCACTAGTGCGAAGGTGGGTGATGAGATCGGCGACTGTAGCAAAGGTGGACAGCTCAGGGAACAGGTAAGGCAGCATGAGGCGGCTAAGCTCGGCTGTGGCAGGTGAGGAGTAGCGAGCAACGACAGCGTCGTAAAGGGCCTTAGCGGTTTTGCAGTCGCCAAAGTGCTCTAGCTCAGCGAACGGCAGGTGACTGCGGATAGCAAGGCGAGCTGCAACGTCACGAGTCTGCCACTGGGAACGTACACTAAGCTCGGCTGTGGCAGCAGGAGCAGCGGCAGCACCAGACGCGTAGTCATAGAGGGATACATTGTCCGTGCTATTGCTCATAAGATACAACTGCAGGTCGTCGAGCCAGGAAGTGAACTGCACGGGACGGCCCTCAGCATCGAAGGAAAGAACGCGAATAGAGGCCATAGCTCAGGCGTGAGGGCACAGCAGAGCAGCGGCAGCAGCAGAGGGGACGCGCTAGAGCGAGGCTAGCAGCCACAGCAGGAGCAAGCGGCGGTGCACGGGCAGGGAGCAGCAGGCGAGGCGGGCAGCGTAGCGGGCAGCGCAGCGGGCAGCGCGGCGGGCAGCACGGCGGGCAGCGCGGCTGGCGGGCAGCGCGGCGTACAGCTCGATGGGCAGGCAGCGCGGCGGGCGGGCAGCGCAGAGGGCTGCGCGACGGGCGGGCGACTCGGCAGGCAGCGCGACGGGCGGGCAGCGCGGGCGCACGAGGGCGCTAACGAGGGGCGCACGAGGGCGCTAACTAGGGCGACGGGCGGGCAGCCGAGCGGGCAGCACGGCGGGCAGCGCGGCGGACAGCGCGGCGGGCAGCGAGCGTAGCGGGCTGCGCGACGGGCGGGCGACGCGGTAGGCAGCGCGACAGCGGGCAGCGCGGCGAGCGGGCAGCACGATGGCGGGCAGCGCGGCGGCGGGCAGCGCGGCGGGCAGCGCGGCGGGCAGCGCGGCGGGCAGCGCGACGGGCGGGCAGCGCGGCGAGCGGGCAGCGCGACGGGCAGCGCGGCGGCGCTGCAGGCAGCACGACGGCGGGCAGCGCGGCGGGCAGCTAGGGCGCACGAGGGCGCTAACGAGGGCGCGCGAGGGCGCTAACGAGGGGCGCGCGAGGGCGCAGCGAGGGCGGAGCGAGGGCGCGTGAGGGCGCTAACGAAGGCGCACGAGGGCGCTAACGAGGGCGCAGCTAGGGCGCAACGAGGGCGCATCGAGGGTAGGGCGCGGGGTAGCGTGGTAACCGCATGCGTGCGACGGTGGGCCCTAAAAAAAACGGTAGGTCCTGGGGACCTCCTGCTCTGAAACCATGTCAAGATGCTAGGCAAGAATGATGTGCATTGAAAAGGAACAAGAGTACAAGTACCTAACCCTAATGGGTTGTACCCTATATTGTCTACCCCACTACAGCCTACCAACACATTACATATAATCTAACAGGCGGCTGGTGGCCATTGACCAAGGTGGTCGACGAACACGTAGAGCAATTGGTAGACTTCGGCCGCGAAAGTCGACGCCGACCTTGTGGTTTCCCAGTCGACCAAGTTACCAGGGCGACAAGGTTCTGATGGGTGCACGACCGTCACTCGAAAGGTCCTGGCGAAGCCGACCTCGGGAGTGGTCCCCCGAGGTCGACGTGGCTCATCAGGCGCAATCTGCGGCACTTAGCCGACTTGGCAGCGGCGCCGTGCACATGACGGTGCACGTCACATCTCTGAAAAGTGTAAACAGCGGAGCAATGAGATACAAGTACCGTATTGTTCCCGATTGATCCTAGGGAAGGGTTACAAGCACGTCGGCCTGGGGGGTTATGGGCGCACTCACCCGCTACACAAATAAGTCATTTTATCCCAGTGTTTAGTGGCTGGGATTCTGACAACTTCGTCTCTCCTGACTCCTCGACTTCGTACTCGGTAAATTTGGCTCCTGCAGCGTACAGGAATGCCTTATCAAATCTCATATCATAACACTCCCCTTCGTTCCTGGGAGCGCAGAGGACTGACTCGCTTGACCACTACGGTAAGGTTAGAGCAATGTTTGTCGGCTTGGTGAGAAAGTCGGCTGCCATCTCGGTGGTAGGGCAGTACGCGAGGTCCACCTTGCCCTGATCAATTTCGTCCTTGACGAAAAAAAGTATCGGAGTGCAATGTGCTTCGTACAATGCACGAACCCCGGCTTGTTCGCAATTCTCATGGTGCTGTGGTTGTCGCAGTGAAGGCGAAAGGTGGGCGAAGTTGGATTTTTCGCTTTTTGCAGCAGCTCTTGCAGGTAAAGTCCTTCACGAACTGCGGCTGTCGCGGCAATGTACTCTGCTTCGGCCGACGACAGGGCAACCAGCTCCTGCTTCTGCGAGTTCCAGGAGATTGGTCCCGTTGGCTCGAGTCAGGCGGAAGACAATGCCGGTTCATGCCGTCGATTTGCAGGGTCAGCGGCGTGATCTGCGTCCACGTAGCCAGTGAGGTTGAACGAGTTTGTTGTCAGTGTGGAGTAGGAGAGCCCGATGTCAGGTGTGGAGATGAAGTACTGCAGGGCGCGCTCCAGGTCCAGCTGGTTCTCAGCTACTGGCTTGCGAGAGTACTGTGCTAGTTGGCTGGCGATGTACGAAAGGTCGGGTCGGCAGGTGACAGAGGCGAACAGCAGGCACCCCAGTTGCTGCTGGTACAGTTGAAGTCCTGCGGGTGACAGAGGTTTGTTGTCCGGTTTGTAGTTGGCGCTGGGAGTCCGGTAGGGAGTAAAGAGTGGTGCGGGTGAGATTTTGAAGCGTTCTCCCAGCTGCTCTGCATACTTGAAAGCTGAGAGATGAATTGCTTCTGGCGCGTAAGAGATGTTCATCCCCAAAAACTATGTAACGTTGTGGTTGATGGTGATGTCAACACCCTGCGCCAGGTTTGCGTCGAACTGATTCAGAAGCTTACTGCATGTGCCAATGTACAGCAGGTCGTCGACGTAGACTGTCAGAAGGATGTAATCACCGTTGAAATGGAGACGGTACATTCCCGGGTCGTGTGGCAGCTGCCTGAAGCTTATGTCCAGTAGTATCTTGTGCAGGTGCTGCTGCCAGAGACGCGGCGCCTGCTTTATCTCGTAGAGGGACTTCTTCAGTTGGCAGACCCTGGGGTCTCCTTCTCCGTAGGTGTGTGGTTGTTCCACGAAGATGGTTGCATCCACCAGCGCGTATAAAAACGCGTTCTTGACGTCGATCTGCCGCAGTGGTAGATGCTTGGCGGCTGCAATTAGGATCCTGACGGAGGTATGGCGGCTGACGGGGGCGAAGGTTTGGTCGAAATCGATGCCGTGGCGTTGGTCGTAGCCGCGTACAACCCAGCATACTTTGAAGCGCTCAATAGTTACGTCAGCGGCAGTTTTGAGACGGAAGACCCATTTTCCGCTCAGCACCCTCCTCCCCTTCAGTGCTGCACGATCGACTAGGACCCATGTGTCGCGTGACTCCAGTGCTTTCACCTCCGCATCCATAGCTGCTCGCCATTCTGTAGCATATGGTCCTACAAGGGCCTGTCGTGGGGTCTTAGGTTCGATGATTCGTGGGGTGGAAGTGACGCTCGTGTGCAGGCCGGGGAGCTGGGGACCGGTGACGTTGCCTGCGGCTTATTGAGTGGTGACTTCCACGACATCATCATCGTCGCTCTCGTAAGTAAGCGAGGGGTTGCTGGGGGGTCGGTGCGCCGAGATGGTCCAGGGCCGGGGGTGTCATCACTGTCATCGTTGTCGTCATCGCGCGGGCGAGGAGGTACGCCGGGATGTTCGTGGACGGGATCGCGATCCAGCGCTGCTGCAGCTGCTTCGTCTTCCGGGGAGGCAAAGTTGCGTCCGCTGTTAGCGTAGGCTCGTGCGACGTTGCGGCCCCGATCCTCAGTCCACTTCCCCAAGGTGAGTCGTTCGTATAAAAGGATGTCACGCGCAGGTGCGATTTTGTTGGTGTCTATGTCAAAAACTAGCCACCCCTTGTACTCGTAGCTCAGCCCCAGATGAACTCCCCAGCGCGCGCGTTGAGTGAACTTGCCGATGGCAGCAGATGTCGGCGGACACTGCACCATGTATCCCCAGACCCGCAACATGGAGGTGTCTCCCCTTGACTTGGTCCACTTCATGTGCGGGGAAAGGTTGTCCCTGTTGGCCGTGGTGGAGAGGAGGTTGTGCAGGCGTGGTTCATGGCGTACGGCCAGTATGTCTTGGGTAGGCCGGACTGGTTCATGAGGG